AATGCATTATGTTGTGAAAGCCTTCCATCCCGGACCTTATCCAGGACCGTTTCGTTCCGGGATGAAAGGCAGAGAATGAAACCCCATTTTCTGCCTTTCATCCCGGAGGCGAAATGGTTCGGGATAAGGTGTGGGATGGAAGGCAGAATGCTGACACTTCGAATTTTTTTTTTTAAGTTGGTCTGCACTGAACGTTTTTTTAATTTCCTTGCTACTTTATGTAATTTTTTTTTACCTTTGTATAGGACATATAATGGATTTGAGACTAATTCTAAACCGTGATGATTGGTTTCTGGTCACGTTGACCAACCTTGCCCATGTAGATAAAACCACTTCTAGGCTGAAAGGTAGGTTAACCTCAACCCAGTTAGACATGTTTAGGCAAACGTGTTTCGGTCCCATTTTGGACATGGACGTAGTTTTTAACGGTCCATTAATACATCATCTATTGTTGAGAGTGGTTGAAGAGCCTAGGCAGGACATCATTAGTTTCGACCTGTTTGGGAAAAGGGTCTCCTTTGGTAAGCGGGAGTTTGACCTAATCACCGGCCTCAGTCATAGGATGATTAGGGTAGATAACGATATTCCTGGCCGACGACTTCGAGCACGTTACTTTAAGGATAGTGTCAGGGTTAAGTGTAGTGAGTTAGAGAAGATTTTTATGGAGGCAGTTTTTGACGATGATGAGGATGCTGTCAAGGTTGGCATAGTTTACTTCGTCGAGCTTTCCATGATGGGGAAGGAGAGGAAGCAGTTTATAGATACGACCCTTTTAGGGGTTGTGGATGCATGCATGCATGGTTGGTTGCTTGGGGTACAAGTTACCATACAAATTTATGAAAAAACAATAAGTTACCAATAAATCATACATTCACGCTGTGTTAAGAGGTTCATTTCATGTTTTGCGATAGTGCCCCGATGTACCACACCGACCGCACTTACGTGTTTAGCGCACCTCGCCCGTGGAAGAAATCCTAACTGTCCGCCTCCTGCCAACTCTAGGAACCATATCTGGTGCTTCTACCGGTGTATCGACAAAAACTGGACAACTGTTCCACGTTGAGACATGGCCAATTGGAAATATTGGTTCTGCATAAGCCATTACCCAAGAGTTCGTTGTGTATGCCTCGTCACACGGAGTGTACGGATTTATGTTTCGCATCATTGCCCCGGCAATAGCATGAGAGCATGGAATTTTAAAATAATCAAACTCCCGACAACTACATGTCCTAGAGTTGAAATCAACAATCCCGTCAAGGTTACCATCACGTACCTGGACATGAAACTGGTCGATGTTCACTACAACGTGTCTCCTGGCATTGTCCGATTATTCAGCAAGCTTATTTTCTGCGTAGTCGGACAATGTGGTTGATCGGGAAGAGGCAAGCGTCCGCTGATCGTAGAACCAAATCTGTAACAGACCTCTGATATGGTCCAATAACGCAGTTACTGGCAACCTATGCGCGTGTCTAAAGAGGGCATTCACGGACTCCGCATTATTACTGGTCATCTGTGTGTACCTCAATTCTATTTGGAAACAACGAGCCCAACGCTCTTTTCCAATGTCATCCAGATACTCCCTCACACTAGGGTACGCACCAAGTTGAGTCCAGATTGAGTTGAAATAAGACTCTCGATATGCTTTCGCAGCTTTTAGAAATAGTTCCTCGAGTGCCTTTGCATCGACTTTAAATTTTGCTAACAAGTTCATCTTAATATGTTGTATACAAAAGCAATGAAATGCAGTGGGAAATACCTTGTCAATTGCCTTACAAATGGTGTGATGTCTATCGGAAACGAAAACCAAATTGTTCACTACGCCGAGCGCACCTTTTAATTGAGTCATAAACCTTAACCATGATGCTACAGTCTCACCGTCGACAATAGCAAATGCAACAGGGTAAATTTGGTTATTCGCATCCGCACCAGAAGCTGTTAACAATACCCTTCTGAACTTCCCTTTTAGGTGGGCCCCGTCGACAACCAACACTTGTCGAATACAAGCCAGAAACCCTCTAATCGATTGACCCAATGCCATAAAGACATATTTGAAATATTTTCCATCTTTCAGTTCCAATTCGAAAATAGTACCTGGGTTCATGATTTTTAATGCTTCACCATAAGCTGGTAGTAGACCGTATGACGATGCTGGATCCCCTCTAATAAGTCGAAGTGCTTCTTCACTGGACCGCCAAGCTTTGTCATAACTTAAATTCACATCATACTCCTTCCTCATGTCTTGTATTATGTCCTTCGGTCTATACGTGCGGGAGACGTCTGTAAACTTCGCTTGGACAAGATGTCCGACCACCCAACTCTTGGCTTGCCTATGATCCTGTTTCAAAACTCCACCGTTGCATGTATGGATGCTATAGTATTTTTTTAGCTTGAACAGATTGCAGTCCCT